GGGAAAAGCTAGCGTGTGATGCCTGCTAGCCAGGCTGATGATTGGTTTTTCTTATGTGTCTGTGTGTGTGTGCGAGTGCGAGCCTCTTGGTTTGGTGTGGGGGTGGTGGTGAGGCAAAGCTTAATGCTTGTTATTTTGCTGCTGCTACTGCCGTTCGTTTCTGGTGGGAGAGCAATGAAGGATCATTAAATGCTACAACAAATGTGGCATTAACAGGGAACAGAGGCGATTCAGATATGAAGGAACGAATGGAAGAGGGGTTGAGCTGGCGGTGGGCATTGGGACAGGCGTCTGGACGGGCAGGCAGGCAGGCAATCAGTAAGCCAGGCCGGTAGGCATAACGTGAAATAAGAAAACTTCATCAACAGAGGGGGGTGAGAATTGGCCAAAGAAAAACATGGTCAATTGTAGAGAGGATAAGTAAGAAAGGGTGAGGGGTAGGTGTTGAGTTAAAACGTATAATAATATATAATCAATAATAAAAAAATAATGACCGAAAAAAAAGCAACAGCAAACGTTTTTTGTTTGCACCTGAATGGTGTTAATTTGGCCAGAGTACGCCGCAGTGGGTTTCAAGCCGAAATATCATGGGCATTGGATTAATTGATAGAGACACTTCGCTTCTCTCAACAACAAAAACCGAGTTTTAATTAAAAGAGAAAAAAACAGAGCATTGGGAAGACCATTTGCTGAATACTCATAAGTTAAGTTAAAAATATGTTGCATACTTTTAGGATGAAAATAATTAAAATTCCTTGTCTTTGAAAACTAATGAATCATGGTATTTAAAAAAAATATAAACGAATTGTAATGTAAAAAAAAATCCCGATATTAAATGAAAAAAATATTTCTAAAAATTTTTTTTTTATTGAAGTCCTGAGGGGATATTTTTTTAAATTCAAGGTCAAAAATATTACCTTAAAAATATTTTTAAACAAAATCAACTTCTTAAGTAAAATTAAGAAATATCTACTAGTTTTCTTAAAAAAAACATGAAAATATTAAATGTCTACAGCGTGTATTCGGTATTTTGATGATTTTAGCGACATTATCTATCAGAATTGTTTAAAATTTCGTATTTGAAGTTCCTAATAAGTACTACAGTCTATGATAGCAAATTGTCTATGTAGCTTCAGGTCTTGGTATGGCTCCTAAATATCGGTATCTCCCTATATTCGGTATTTTGATGATCTTAACAGAATGTTTAACGGATTCTATTTTTTATTATTTTTTTTTTTATTTATTTATTTTGAAAATATCCAAATTAGTTCCAAATGGTGGAGGGTATTCAAAGTTCGGCCTGGTCGAACTTACTACTTTTTTACATGCTTTTGTTAATCAACTGCCACAAATCAACCCTGAAAGCATATTTTTAAAAATCCTTGACCATAAATAAAACCTAAAAAGTATATGCTTAGATCCGGCTAAAAAGTATATGCTTAGACGACGGCTTAGATAAAACCTTAAAAATATATTTAAAAATAAAATGACCATGACCTACTTAGTATTCCACAAAAATGAATAAATAAGGTTTTAAAAGTGGTTTCTGTTCGACCCATAAATGATCGAAAACTTTCATGAGGATTACAAAGGTCTAAATAATCCTCCATCCAACTGTGGAGTGCAAAACGACATGGATCCCCCCAGTTTTTATAAATTTCATTTTTTATGAGTGCTTCCACCAACTCTTATTTCGCTCTCTCTCTCTCTCTCTCTCTTGAAATGCCTTCAGAACCATAATTTTCGGTGTTGCATGCTTTTCTTTTGTTGCCTCCTTTAAGTTCCATTGTTTATATACATTTAAATAAATATCTAAACTTTAAAAATATTTTTCAATTTTTATTGGGGAATATCTGCTGTATCAATTGATATTTTTCATTTTTAAAAACTCCCATCCTAGTGAACTGGTTACATATTTTCAAGGATCTTTTCTTAAAAGATATTTTAATCAAATAAATTAAATTTTTAAAAATTGTTAAGCAAAGATGTTGAATACCTTTTAAATATTTTGTAATCTATATCGAATTTGAAAATACGTTGCCTAAATTTATGCATAAAAATTTTGCCTAAAAATGTTTTTGTTATATAAATTTAAATGATACTCTGACATACCCTATTACATATGTTACATAAATTCGAATATAAAAATGTTGCATATTTTTAGACAATTTTGTAACAATATTTTGAAAAATAATGGATAATGGATTTAAAGCAAATCATACATTAGACAATTAACGAATCTGTTATGTGACGTAACTTTCACGAAGATGTGGCATACATCTGATGTTGCATAATTTTAGGAAAAATAAAAAAATATATTAAAATGATGCCAACATTTAAAGACAGTCATAAAATTCTACAGCCAAGGATTCCTGCATATTTTTGGAAAGTAAATTTCAAATTAATGTTGCATACTTTTGGGATTTATTTACAAACAAAATGTGCTCCACGTTATTAGATGACATTTATAAAAAAATCTTTATACCATTAAAAAAATGGAAAAATATTAAAACGAATGGACCTCACGTATACAGCACTTCCTAAAAGTATGAGTGATTTCATGAATTGCATATCATACGCATACACAGAGTTTTTATACAAACGACCGGAGTCTACGGAAATGTTCTACATCTTGTGTTGCAAAGTTTTATGAAAAATTAAAAATATTAAAAAATTATGCCAAACATTTAAAGCATATCATGTACGAATGTAGCACATTTTGTGAAAGTATATTTCTTGGAGTATTTTTACAAAGAACATGTGCTGCACCTTTTTGGATAATTTTAAAAACAATATATAATCCAAGAAATCACCCGGGTACCTTTCTGGAAGTATATTTCATTTGAGGTATATTTTAAAAATGTATATGTTGCACACTTTTAGGGATTTTGTTTTAAGTATTTCTGAGAAATAGATAAAAGAAATCACAACGAATCTCCAAGACAGATTTTCGGAAAAAATTTAAAACCTGAAGACCAACGCATACTTTTTGGAAGTAAATTTCAAAAAATGTATTGCATACTTTGGGGTTATAATGAAAAATGGATAAAAGAAAACTGACAACGAATGTCCCGCATTCTTTTACTCAAAATAGTAAAACCTAAAGACCAAATTTATACTTTTTTGAAGTAACTTTCAAAAAATAAATATTGCTTACATTACATTTTTAAATAAAAAATCTTGCATACTTTTGGGAGACATTTTCAAATATTTTCAAAGAATTAAAACATTCTAGAAATCTCAAAATTTTACAACGAAAAAGATTGAATATCAACGGTAAGCCTTTCGATGAAAGGTATCCCCTATGATGTCATTCAAATTTGAATGCGAACAAACCAACACCATTCCAAATATGTTTTTGAATTTTTGTATTATTCAAAAAAACTCATTTGAAGTTTTTTCCCAATCATTTTCGTATATTAAAGACCAAAATCACACTTTTTTGGAAGTAAATTTCAAAAAAAAATATTGGGGGAAGTAATTTTTTTTTTCAACAAAAAACTTGCATACTTTTGGTGGCTTTTTTTAAAATATTTTCAAAACTCCAGAAATCTCAAAAAATTGACAGCGAAAGAGATTGGATATCATCATTAAGTCTATCGATAAATGGGGGATAAATTGATGCCACTGTGTTTTAGTAAATTTGTATGTTTTTAAATATTCGCTATTAAGTGCATGTTTTCGTATGACTGGAGAAATTTGAATGCGAACAAAAATATCATTCTCATTAGATTTTTAAATTTTTGAATTAAAGAAAAAAAATTAAAAAAATTTGCATACATTTGGGTTTTTTTAAATATTTTCAAAAAAATAAATATAGCTCTCATATATCTCAAAATCTCAAATATTTACACCCAAAGATATTGAATATCATCGGTAAGTCTATCGATGAAAGGTACTCCCCTTTGATGACACTGGATTTGAGTCAATTTATTTATTTATTTTTTTTTTTTCATTTTTTTATATTTATTTGAATGCGAAAGAAAAATATCTTCCTCCAAATGTTTGTAAATTTTTGAATTATTGAAAAAAAAAAAAATTGAAAAAATCTTGCATACTTTTAGGGGCTTTTTAAATTATTTTTTCTAAAAATTAAAAAAATACTCCAAAAATTCTCAAAAATTTACAGCGAATATCATCGGTAAGCCTATCGATGAAAGTTGCCCCCTTTGATGCCACTGTGTTTTGTATGACTAGAGAAATTTGAATGAAAACAAAAATATCATTCCCAATAGGTTTTTAAAAAAAAGTCGTGCATACTTTTGGGGGCTTTTTTTCAAATATTTTCAAAAAAATAAATGAAGCAGAACAGAAATCTAAAATATTTATAGCCAAAGATATTTAATATCATCGGTAATTCTATCGATGAAAGGTACTCCCCTTTGATGACACTGCGTTTGATTTATTTTATAATTTTTTATTTATAATTTTTTAATTTTTTTTTTTTTTTTGCATTTATTTGTATGATGATGCAAATTTGAATGCGAACGAGATTTTTTTTTAAATTTGTGAATTAATGAAAAGATTAAAAAAATCTTGAATACTTTTGGAGGACTTTTTTAAAAAATATTTTCAAAAGAAAAATTAAAGCACTCCAGAAATAAAAAACATTTTTCAACGAAAGAAATTGAATATCATCTTCAAGCCTATCGATGAAAGGTAAGTTTGATGCCACTGTGTCAATTTTTTTTTAGTCAATTTTTTGTCATTATTCGAAAAACCCCATTCCACATAAGTTTTTAATTTTTTTTAATTATTCCTAAAGAAAATTGAAAAAGACTCATTTCTATTTTTTTTTTAATTATTCCTAAACAAAATTGAAAAAGACTCATTTGAAGTTTTTTTCTCATTTTCGTATCTCCATAGTTTAAGTGAATTCTGCCTTTTTTGTCATTTTGGCCAAGTCGGTGTAGCGTTGAGCGGTAACTTTGATTCTACTGGATTTATAAATGATTTGACGAAGTTATATTTTTATTCAATAATTTGTCTATTTATATTACCTGGTATTTAGATTTTGTTACTCTTTATTTATCAATTTTTTGCCCTTTTCGGCTGCCACAATGAGGTGGTAACTTTGGTTCTGTGAAATTTGCAAATATTTTGAATTCTGTTTTTTATTCAATCATTTTCGACTCAATATTGGGTTTACTTTCTGTAGTTACTCCATCTACTGACTCAGTACCCAGCTGAGGAATAGCTCGTCTTGTAATTGTTTTTAAAATTGATTCAAACACTTGGTTTTCAAAATTCAAATTAGGTATTTTCCTTTAGGTTTTATATCTGTTTTTATTTCTGTTTGGTTGAGTTATTGCAGGAATGGGTAGTAACTTCGTTTCAACGCGATTTTTGAATGTTTTGAAAATTTATACATCGTTTTCATTCATTATTTTTGTAAATTCAAATTACCCGGTATTGAGGTTTCGTTTCTGTTTATCTTTTCGCCTTTCTGGCTGTGGATTCAATGAAGAATTCGAACTTCGACAGTAATTGATTTGTAAATGTTTTGATATTTAGACAATTTTTTGAAGCTCAAATTTAACCGGTATTTCCATTTCTTCGTCTTTTTCACAATTTTTTTTTTTAAATTTCCACTACAATTTTTTTTTTAAAAAAATATTTTTAAAAACTCTTCTTTGTACGGCTTTTTTGCCAAAGAAACAAAAAATGTCGTTGTTATTGTTATTTTTTTTCTTATTGTTAATCAGATTTTTAGTCTAATCACACACGTGTTTTTTTTATTGCAAAACACCGAAGAGTGTTGAGGGGGAGGGTGGTACGGAAGGGGACCACACCGATCTTCACCCCTTTGTCACCACTGGAATCCGCTAAAAGGCGCTAAAACCCGAACACACACACACACAAACGTCACCAGCTGATTATGATTATGAGGTGGTGTCAATGATGACACTGTGACAGACAAGACGACAACGATGACGACGAGCACAAAATTCAAGAATTATTTCACTTCCAACGCTGATTGCAGTCAGCTTACAACTGAACTGAACTGAAATTGAAAATTCAGCAAAGCATTGCGAAGCGCATAGCACAACGCCACAACGGCAACGACACAGGAGGAAAAAGCCCCCCAAAAAACACCAACTAACCAGAGCCAACCAGCCAGCCAACAGCAACAACAAATCCAAAGGCAGGCAAGAGCCACACAGAAGCCAGCCGCAGCAGCAATACACAAAAATATAACAACAAAACCAACAACGAAAAAACGCCAGCCGTATAAAACGCTTTTTACGTTTCTCATTTGGTTGTTGTTCTGGCTGGCATGCCAGGCCAGGCTATGCGAGCATTTTCTGTATGAATGCCAGCCAACCAGCCACTGCCATCCATGGGAGAGCTCAGAGGTGATGGTGACGACTACAACGTTGATGATGATGATGGCTGGCTGGCTGGTTGGCTATGACGATGAAGTGCTTGCCTGCTTGGTGGTGGGCCTGGATGGGCCCCAGCCAGCAAGCCAGCCAGCCAGGATGGTTGTTGCTTGAATGGATGGATGAATTGCTGCTACATCGATGGATGTGTGTATGTTTGTAACTGTGTGTGTGCCTGGTCTGTCATTTGGTTCTTTCTGCAGCAATGTGTGTAGAATATTTACTGCCACAGAGCGTTTTGTGGTGCCATGGCCGCCTGTGTGATGTGCTGTGCTCTGCAGCCTGGCCAGGCTGGCTATAATAACAGCAGCAGCAGCCAGCAACAGCCCAAAAACGAATTCAAAAGCCATAGCCAGCCCAGCCAGTCATCAGAGTGAGGATTGTCATTGTTGTTGTTCTTGCTTTTGTTGTTGCCGGTGTGTGTCGGGTTCGTTCTTCTATTCTTTATGGCAAAATCAAACCAGCAGAGTCCAAATGCGAAAATATTTCACCATGTGTGTGTGTGTGTATGTGTTTGTGCGTGTGCATGTATGTATGTCTGTCTGTCGGTTTGTATATTTTGTTCCCAACCATTCACATTTTATTTCGTTCAAGCGTTTGGCTCGTATATTCCAACTCACACACATCCATGCATACATACGTCAGTATGTCTAAATGTTGTTATTGCCAGCCAACCAGCCAGCCAGGCTGATTGCCTGCTGCCTGTCAATGTGATTGCTACTGCTGTTATTTTTGTTGTTGTTGTTGATTCTCCTGGCTGGCTGGCTGGCTTTTTGCTTAATACAGGCCTGCCTGTCTGCCTGACTATGCTTATTTGTCGTTGCCTTAGCCTGCCATTGCTTGCTGCTGCTGGTGACTGTTGGTTTGAATGATTGTCGTCGAGTTTGCCTGGCTGCCCAGCTACCATCAGTGTTCCGGTGCCTAAATTATTGTTGTTTCGTGGTTGTATGTGTGTGTGTGTGTATGAATGTGTTTCTACCATTACAGCTTGTTGGCAGGCGAGCAGACAGACAGTTAGAATCACACACACACATGTTAACAGTGAAAGGTGAAAAGTATAAGAGAACAGAACGCCTAAAAGTAGGCAAGACTTTTTAAAAATTCATAACATGTATCTACGTTATCTAACAGAAGTAGAACGTAAATAATGTATCTATGTTCTTTCAATGACTTATGGAATGTATCTATATGATCTAAATGACATGGAATATATATCTACAATATCTAGATGTCGAAAACAATGTATCTCCGTTATGTCAATGGCTTAAAATATGTATCTACATTCTCCAGATGATGTTAGAAACGTATCTAGATTAATGAGATTGCGTGGAAAAAGTATCTACGTTCTCAAGATATCGAGGGAAATGTATCTACGTTATTTCATTGGTTTGTATGTATCTACCTCATTGAGATGGTGGGGATAATGTATCTAGGCTCTCCAGATAACATGGAGAATGTATCTAGGTTCCCCAGATACAATTAAAAATGTATCTACGCAATGCAAATACCATGGAAAATGTATCTACGCAATCCAGATACTATGGAAAATGTATCCACGCAATCCAGATACCATGGAAAATGTATCTACGCAATCCAGATACTATGGAAAATGTATCTACGCAATCCAGATACCATGGAAAATGTATCTACGCAATCCAGATACCAAGAAAAATGTATCTACGCAATCCAGATACCATGGAAAATGTATCTACGCAATCCAGATACCAAGAAAAATGTATCTACGCAATCCAGATACCAAGAAAAATGTATCTACGCAATCCAGATACCATGGAAAATGTATCTACGCAATCCAGATACCATGGAAAATTGATCTACGTAATTCAGATACCATGAAAAATGTATCCACGCAATCCAGATACTATGGAAAATGTATCTACGCAAAATGTATCCGCAAACAATTTATCTACGTTATGTCAATGGCTTAAAATATGTATCTACATTCTCCAGATCACATTAGAAACCTATCGAGGAAAATGTATCTACGTTCTCAAGATATCGAGGGAAATGTATCTACGTCATTTCATTGATTTGAAAAATGTATCTACGGATAATGTATCTACGCTCTCCAGATAACATGGAGAAGGTATCTAAGTTCCCCAGATACCATGGAAAATGTATCTACGCAATCCAGATACCATCGAAAATGTATTAACACAATCCAGTTACCATGGCAAATGTAATTATGCAATCCAGATACCATGGAAAATGTATATACACAACCCAGATACTATAGTAAATGTATCTAGACAGACCAAATACCATGAAAAATGTATCTACGCAATCCAGATTGCATTGAAAATGTATTAAAGTTTAGTGGGCGATTTGCAAAATGTAACTACATTCTTCAGATGACTTGAAAAAACGTATCTACGTTAACAAGATTACTTGGGTATTGTATTCACGTTCTCAATATGTCGAAGATATGTATCTACGTTATTCAGATGACAGGGATAATGTATTTAGGGACTCCAGATAACGTGCAAAATGTATCTACGCTATGGATATTGCCTAGAGAATGTATCTATATGCTTTAAATGACATGGAATGTGTATATTCAATATCTAGTTAACAAAAACAATGTATCTACGTTTTGTCAATGGCTTTAAATTTGTATCTACATTCTCCAGATGAAGTTACAAGCGTATCTACATTAATCAGATTGCGTGGAAAATGTATCTACGTGCTTAAGATGTCGAGAGAAATGTATCTACGTTATTTCATTGGTTTGAAAAATGTATCTACGTTATTAAAATAGCATGGATACTCTATCTACGTTCTCAAGATATCGAAAGAAATGTATCTACGTCATTTCATTGGTTTGAAAATGTATCTACGTTATTAAGATTGCGTGGATAATGTATCTACGTTCTTCAGATGAAGTGGGGAATGTATCTATGCCCCACCAAATGACGTGGAAACGTATCTATATCAAGTATATTACGTGGATTATGTATCTACATTCTCTAGATTATTTAAGATGACGAGTAGAACGTATACACATTAACCAGAATATGTGGAAAATGTATATATGTTATGTCAATGGCTTAAAAAAAGTATCTACATTTTTCAGATGTCGTAGGAAGAGTATTCACATTATTCAAATGCCACGAATAATGTATCTACGTTATCAAATTGATTTTGATAATGTATCTATGTTTTTCAGATGACGTGGAAAAAGTATCTACGTTAGCAAAATGACGTGATAATACATCAACGTTATCTAAATGAAGTAGAAAACGTATCTACATTCTTCAAATGACGTGGAAAATGTATCTACGCTATCCAGATTGGGTGGATAATGTATCTACGTTCTCTAGATTACTTGGATATTGTATCTACGTTTTCCAGATGACGAGTAGAACGTATTTACGTTAACTAGAATGTGTGGAAAATGTATCTGTGTTATGTTAACGGCTTGAAAATGCATCTACGTTCTTCGGATGTATCTACGTTGTCTAAACGTGGTCGAAAATGCATCTACATTATCCAAATGATACAAAAAATGTATCTAAGATCGCCAAATAACGTGGATAATGTAATTAAATGACTTCAAAGATGTAGATACTTTGTCTGAATGTCATCAATAATGTATCTACATTATCCAACTGATATGAACAAATATATCTTAGATCCCCCAAAGTCGTGGATAATTTATCTACGTTCTTCAGCTGGCATGGATAATGTATCTATGTTCCGTAAATGACGAGGATAATGTATCTGCATTATCCAAATGATATGAAATATGTATCTGAGATCCCCAAATGTCATGGAA